TTAAAAAATTAAAAAAAATTTTTTTTACGTTTTTGTTATAATTTTTTCCTAAAAAAAGAAAGAGACAGAGAGAAAAAAAAGAGAATATAATTACAAGAGTTTAAGGTTAATTATGTTAAGTTTTACATCAATTTTTTTGATATTTGAAAGAAATTTTTAAGATCTTTTTTAGAATAATTATTTTTTCTTGTCTTTTACATACGTAATTTAATCACTCTCGGATAAAAGATCATAACATTTTGTTCGTAGTAGTAATATTCACAATACTTTCCATTGTTGCCGTTAAAATATTAGGTACATATACATATTTGATTTCACATACACACACACACATACACAGGCGCGCGCGCGCACGTCACACACATATTTAGCGTTTATTATAGATAGGAATATGTTATGTATGTGCGTGCATGTGTGAACACATATTCTTATATAACAAACGCTAATAAAATAGTCAAATTATGTACGGTACAGAATACATCGGACGACTAAATAGGCACACTATTGTAAACTAATAATTTAATATAAAAGAAATTTATATATAGTTATAATCTTCGTCGTTGAAAACATCAGTTAACTAAAACAAAAATCATTTGAATCAAGGGAAGGTAGTTTCTATAACGTTCGATCCATCAGTCCGAAATTGAATAGTTAAGTTGGAGACAATCGCGATTATAAAATATAATTTTCATATCTACTATTTACAACTAGATTTCTATGCTCCCTTCTCGTAATAATTAATTATTTACATCAAATCGTTACATCTCAATTCAATCATAATTTTTCGATTGTTTCACTTTTCTATGCGCCTCTGTTTCATCTTCTGTGCCATAAAGATGAGATCGGTGCTTCATTTCAGTTGCAACAGACTTTAATAAACCAACAGAGAAACAGAAAAGTAAACGTAAGACACAACATAAGTAATAAAGAAAAAAAAGATAATCAAATGAAGAGACCAAGCCACGTTCATAAACATTACGTTATGATATTAATTTCTGACCAAACTCACCAGACGAGAAAGCACTTTTTTTGGCATATCTTCTTGCAAGGTGTAGATTTCATTACGCTTTAAATCGAGGTGAGAGCCATCTTCAAAAATCACCTAAAATAAAAAAAGTATAAATTGCAATTAATAATTAAGTAATCAATAAAGAATAAATTAACTTTTGTATATATTAAAAATTACTTACAGTGAACATTATTCGATGATTTGTACCTGCGAAGATGCCGTCGTATGTCAGACCATCAGTCCACTTCACCTTCACTGCGGCTCCAAGTGCAGGTATACTTCGAGGATCATAGTTCTAAATAAGTACAAAATATATGAGAGCACATTTCGAAAAGTATTATAAGTTTTAAAACGGACTTTAAACTTTGACCGCTATAAAAAATTTGGTGGATAGGACTTTGACTGTGCAACTATGTACATATATGCAGATAAAATTAAAATAATAAAAAGATACTATTGAAACTTACAATTATATCTATAGGATACGTATCCTCACTGAAGCTGTCATCCTCGATAAATGTAATCTCGTAAAAGAGGGTATCCTGGATAGCTTCTACTTTGGCTTGATAATATCGGTTGTTACGATGCTTTGCCCATACTGTTTCCCCCTGGCGTATCTGCGGGCGTATCTTTTCTTTGCCTTCGTCATGTTTGTTACACGTTACCTAGATAACATAATAACATTGCAGTAACGTGTACGAATTTATTGGCATTTGTATTTCACAATTAGAGAATACTGTACCTGAAGTTCCTGTGAATTGTACACCGGTATGATAAATGTAGCGCCTGCCGCGAGACCGCAAGACGGATGAAACACGTTACTGCATTGATTACACTTCAGGCACGCTCCACCGTTCTGGCTGCAGAAATGACACTGCTTGTTCAGGCACGAATCCGCCGTCGTCAATACATTGATGGGATCTTTATTTATGGCATCTTTAAATGTGGCTCCTGGTACCATAAGCGTACATAAGATATGCGCCCATCTGCTGTCACTGGTACGCTTCATAGGACCACCAAACATTGGGCACAGACAACACATCTGTATTTCGTAATAACGAAGCAAAATTAGCGAGAGGTACGTTTGACAAATGACGAAAACGAAGAAAGAAAAAAGTGAATGTTAAACACGTACCACATCGTTTCTACCAGCTTTACACCTGTCGCAGGCCCAGTTTCGGATATCCGTAGGTAATATAGTTATACCGTAACAAGATGCGTGAACAGTTACGTGACATTCTCTGCACCGTAAAAGTTTTTTATTCTCCGGTTCCACAGCCTGTTCCTTAGAGTTCGCTGCAAAAATACTGGCCGACACCTGTAATGCATATAAATTATTTTTTCAATAAACACCTTCGCAATTTTCGTTGAGTATATCCAAGAAAAGATATTGCTACTGAAGAGTTTTAATAGTTATTTAAGCGTTATTATCTCACCCATATCGGTGTACTCTCAGGTAGCACAATTGATTTGCAATACTTCCAATCAGATGGCATCATCCGACTACTTCCGCTTGTACAGGAGGCAAAAGTAGCGCATACTGCACAATGAGACACTTGAGCGCTCCAATAATCATTGAACGCTTTTAGCAGTTCGCTGTTTGGTACACTCGGATAGATCATATCAGAAATATGCCCTGGTATTACCGGTGTGGACTGAGAATTGGCTTCTGGCATATCGACAGACTGCGTGGATTGATCTTTCGTAGTTTCAACACCAACCGTTGTTGGAGTAGTAGTAGTAGTAGACGCAGGAGCAACATTCCTAGTGGCAGACGCAGAAGAAAGGGCCATAGGAGCAACATTTTCAACGGTTTCAGAAGCAATACTTCCAGCGGTTACAGGAGCAGCACTTGCAATGGTCGTAGGAGCAACACTTTCATCGATTGCAGGAGCAACGCTTCCAACGGTCGCAGGAACTGTGGCCGTAGAAATGGCAGGAGGAATGGGCATAATAGTCACATGAGGTGGGGAGGTTACTGGTTTTCTCCTTGTTGTAGCTTTTCTCTCCCTGGGCTTTCTTAAAATGCTTGCTTTGCGTTGCGTATTCGATTTAGGCATCGATAAATGTGAACAAATAGTATTCATTTGTAAGTCTTGTTGTAACTGTGCTTTATTGTCAGGTATATTTGAACGCTCATTTTCAGGTAACATGTTTGGCATATTTGTAATTTGCGTTATAACGTTTGGATCGGTCATATTTATGCACGTATCAGTAGAATTATTAATTGAAGTTTCAACAGTACTCGTAGTGTCTGCTTGCTGGGAGATATTTGAAGATGTATTATTATTCGATTTACTATTTTTTGCCGGTGTTTTCCTACGTGATGCTCCTTTCTGCGACCTTTGGCGCGTTGCGCTCTTGGTGACTTTTGGCGTAGTTTGTTTCGAACCGCTTGCAGGTGCAGATAATTCATTCGTGACTGCCAGCGTATCAGTATTTTGTACACAATTGTTAACAGGATACACGAAGACAGATGAATACATTGGCATATTTATATTTGGTACGGGCGATGCATTTGGCAAAGGCGAATAATAAGCTAAATTAAAGCCCGATTTTCCTACGCGCGGAAGTTTAGCAGCATTTAAATAAACATTGTGTTGATAGGATATCGTTGGTAATTCCTTCGGACCATTGCTCGTACAAGGTACTTTTCCCAGAGCGCTCCCAAATTTGTAATTCGAATAATTGGTACGCTGGTTAAATTGCGACTGGGACGGAGTATTGGGAAATATGGATTTACAATCGCCATAAGGTACCGGAGTAATAGCAGTATCAGTTGGAAGTGGAAAGTGATGGTCTAACAATGGTGGAGTACTAATTATGATATCGTTTCCGATACGTTGCGTTTCCATTTCATTTTGCAAAACTGGAGGATTATTAGGCTGGCAAGGTGCGGTTGTTTCGAAATGTGTAACTGACACATTTTTATCAACTACAAGTGAGTTTGGTATAGCTGCAAACGAGTGCATCTGCTGATTTTCAGCACAACTTTCAGCTTGCGATTTAGATTTTACTGCAAAATCAGATGGTTTAAAGCGAGCTGCTTTTAAGGTAAAGTTACGAACAGTACTCTCCGGTTTGTTTTCTATCGGCATTGCACCCATATTTTTGCAGTTTGCAATCATAAGCTGTTCTACTTGCGTGGCCGCGGTTCTTGTATTTTCATTCTGGCATCCAGAATTTGTATTATGTTTTACGACATAAGAGTCATCCTCGGCTGTCTTTTTCAATGTTATTTTTGGAGAATCATTTGTGTTATTTGTCGATAAATAAGCAGCTGTTCTGTTTTCCGTGACTCTAATCAGCAACTTTGCCATGTCTTTTTTGTCGTCATTAAAAGCAAAATTTTTTATCTGATCAGTATTTATTGTACCCATGTTTTTCTTATTAAGCTCGTTACTAACCAGAACACTTGGATTCATTAAATTAAAATTAAATTTCTTTTGGTTATTAGGCGCATTACTTATAAAATTTTCAGGATAAATGTCAATATTAGGTAGCTCTAGGGATCTACATTGCACAGTGGCATCTGAAACGTTTGGAGTTGATGTAGTCGAGAGCGATACATTATCGCATTTGCGTTTACCTTTAGACGCACGTTCACGTTTTGGTTTCGGCTCTTTAGGTTTCCTCGGCTCTCTAGGTTTCGAATACTTCTTTTTCTTTTTGGTAAATTTATCAATAATTTCGGGAGAATTAGAACCATCCGGAGGAATGTTCTCCAATTTTAAAGGATCTTCACATTCATCTTTTATAAAAATTGCGTCATTATAAAGTCCTTGAGGTACAGGTATTTCTTCACTATTTTCCTGGGATACGTATTCAAAAGCATTAGCTTCAGTATCCATTTCAATTTTAACTACATTCGCAACTTGTGCATTAATTTTACTGGCTTCCTTTTTAGATTTTGATTCAGCTCTTGGCTTTTTCTTTTTATCCCCGCTTTGCTTTTTCTTTCTTTTCTTGCCCTTTTTGCGATTGTAACCATCGTCATACACAGTTGCTTCTTCAATGTCTGCAACAAAAGTATATGATTAGTAAAATCTCAAATATAGCTATATGAAACATATATAGTAGCAAAGATAATAATAATAATAATAATAATAATAATGACATAAAATGTAAATACAAAAAGTGTAAAAGTTTTACCCATTTCTCCTGCTTTTAGCCAAATATCTTCCAGAACTTCTAATTGTTGTTCATCTGGTCCTTCCTCTATTTCATCAAATTCGTGATCTTGTAAAGCTTTTTTAACATCCGGGGGAATATCTGAGCGATTTGCAAGATCTTCAATATACATACCAGGATTTGCAGTTATAGTATTCTTTTTCTTATGAATCACATGCCGTTTATTTTTTGGTGTTGCACTTAAGTAGCTTTGCGGTAGTTCACCATTGCTACTATTGGTACATAATAGATCCATTTGTGATGGCATTGGTGCAGCAGTCTGTCTAGGATCTTCAGGATGAGGACCAATATCCTCACCACGTAGCCACAATTCATACCTAATCGGAGAATTAGTTAAGATACATAGTAAATATTTAAATGTAAATACATCGTATTTAGCAAATATTATTATCAAATTAAAGTTTTTAAATAAAAGTTATTTAGATACACACCTATCAGGTTGAAAACGTTTCACGAAGGTATCCATAGATATTTTGACCATATCTTTACTGCAGGTACATTGCGTAGCCCTCTTTCCATATTCTACCCATCTGGGCGCTGCAAAATTGGTAGATTCGGCGCAATTGAATCCGTGATTAAAACCAGCATGATAACCATATGGAAATGTAATCATTATTTCCCCAGCTTCTTGCGTTATCTACAAGGACAACAATATGAGACATAAGAGGCTAAAAAAAAATTGTAATCAGGGCAAGGCGAAAATAAACTTACTTTGTCACATGGAATAGAATATTGCCTCAGTACTTGGGGAGATATGAGAGACATTTTGTGGCGCAAGAAGGCTTGGCAATTCTGATAGCTAGTTGGGAAAAAACCGCTGGCTAGTCTTTCTAATCTACGTCCGTGTTCCGGCGGTACAGCATACCATGTTTTCGGCGCGCCAAAATGTAAATAATTTATGGAATAAAGATCCATGTCCTCTGTATGCCAAGCAAACGTAGTTTTCCACATTCCAAAATACAGGTAAGCTGTATTGACGCCATCGATGGATATACCGTAATCCTTGTTAACGTAATCCAGAATTGTTCCTAAATGATTGATATTCCACTCCTTCACTTCCGGATCCGTCAAGGAACCCGACACATCTGCGCCGTATATCGGCGCCACGTATGTTATATTTTTCCAGTACTTCCTCTCCAAATCTTCATAGTCAAAATGACGCGGAGTAGCGTAACGATCAGAATTCGCCAATTCACTATATTCCTTTACAGTCATTGACCTTTTTTGTATATTAATTTGTTGATAAAGTCCTTGTTTTCCAGTAACGACTTGGCAGATCGGCGCTGGAATGGTGAGCTGTAAGTCATCTAGATTATAGCCTTGTTTCCTGGGGATCCATTCGGGTGGTGGTATAACTTTTGCCAAACCAGCCTTATGAGCTCCCTGACTTTCCATATATTCCACATACTTCGTGAAATCTTTAAACTCCTCGTATGTCGGTCTAAAGACCTGTATACGGGGTGCTCCTCTCGAATTACTAGCCATTGTTGAACTTATTATAGCTGCAAATAAAAATTTTAAAAATTCATCATTATGTTACATATATAAAAAAATTTTACTTCTAGTAATAACATATAGTAATAACATTACTAAAAGTATATATGTACATATTACTTTAAATTATTGTTAATTATACATAATTATTAATTGCAACTAGGGTTGGTAAGTAACGCGTTAATAATGACATTAACGTTTAAAAACAAATTTAATTTAATTTTCTGTAAAAATAAATAATATAAAGAAAAACTTCTATTATATACAGATTAGTTTAGAGTTTCAAGTTGTAATATTTATTATTACATTTAATAATTATTATCAAATAATATACATTTAAAATCTAATTAAAATTATATAGTATTACAAAAAAAGTAACAAATCGTTACTTTTGAAAACCAGTAAGGAATAACAAATTAATTTTTACAAAAAATAACGATAGCAATAACGATTACTTTTTTAAGGTAGCGTCCCCAACTCTGGTTGCAACTAATTAATAATTTAATTATTTTGTATAGTCGTGGACAAATAGGTGGCGACACTTTTGTTTTATTTGCTTTCGGAACGCACTAATATTTTACAAATATGAATCACGATTGGAGTACTATCTTTAGTCTAGAGACAGTACAACCAATCGTGATTCGCATTTGCAAAATATTAGTGCGTTCCGAAACCAAATTAAAAAAGTGTCGCAACCTATTTGTCCATGAGCGTATATAATACAGATCCATACTATTTTCCCATCAATTTAAAAAAAAATTTTTAAATTTTATATTATGAGATACAGAAACAAAATCTTGTTGAAAAATATCATTTACTCCATTTGTTTTCGAAATTGAGCGTAGTAATTTTACATTTTTATATAGCATATTGCACAATATATGTTGCATTTTGTGTTTAAGTCTCATGTCCACGATGCTAGAAATCAGTCCCAAATCTGGGACAGAGAGAGACCATTGACCAATCGCATTTGAACGATTCGTCCATTTGACCAATGCGATTGGTCAGTTTTTCTTTCATTCGAGATCTTGGATCGATCTCTATCCTCGTGGACACGAGGCTTTAGAGCTTACAAAAGGCAATCGGAGGTAAAGCCTGGTCTACAATTACGTAAGCGTAGCTGTAAGTGATTGTAGTTGTAAGAACTGACCAATTACAGTCGAATATTCCTTCTTATATTCGATTGTGATTGGTAAATTCTTACACCTGCAACTACTTGCAACTATGCTTACGCAATTGTAGACCGCGCTAAAACCGAAAGCATGCAGTATAATTTAATATCAAGTTTAGCGACAATGAAGAATAATAATTCTTTATCTCTTCTTAAGTATTAGAAAAACATAGCATATAGTGTATTGACGTATGGAAATAATTTTTACAATAATTTATTGCACTTTATCGACGGAAATAAAATCAGCAGATATAAAAGCGAAATAGTTTAAACTGAATATATGCACTGCGCGCACATGTTCTCGAAGCTTGCAAGCCGTGCAAATTTTTTTTACGATACTGCTAACCTTGAAAATCAAAATTATCCCACATTGTTAGAAAATTGAAGCTTTCGATAGGGTTTCCCAGGGCCTGACCTTAAGGCCAGAGCACAGACTTTTGCACAACGCGTAAGACGTAAGGCATAAGAAATTAATCAATCAGAATGAAGGACTCTGATTGGTTGATTCTCTTATGCCTATGTAGCGTTTATGTCTGTGTTTCAGCCTTTATTCTAAAAAAAATTCTCGAATTTTTTAGAAGGCCTCAGACCCTTGACTGGCGCGCTAGGATTAATCGGGCTTATTATAAAAAATTTAATTAATATCAATTATTAATGTTTAATTACAACTACAAAAAAAAACGAAGCATAGGCGATAAGCAAAAGCATGCATTTTAAAGCAAATTCTGTTTTTAAGCTACAAAGAAACATAAAAAATGTTTAATTAGAAAATAGCATATATAACATATTTGTCAATCTCTCAATAATTCAAATTAATCACGAAATTGTGAAACTTGAAAAATGTGTTTAAAAAAGTATTATTTTAAAAAAATAATAAACTTTTACATGTATATGCCGTAAGAATCTTTGGGATAATTTATGGTATTCTTTCCTCGTTTCTTTTTTTCCTTAGTCAGTTAAAAAATTATTAATATTTCATCATATAAGATATTCAATTTCGCGAAAAATTTTATACCAATAAAATAGCAAATTGTTGTACATACTCCTTATAAAACGCGAATAACGTCACGCTTCATCAATATTATATTTAAATCACGCTCGCTAATTGCATTTTCGGCCGAATCGATATAATATGTATCTCCGATCGATACCTCCGACGAGTGTATAAACAAGTCTTCATGTTACAACGTACAAATGTATAAATTATTCACGTTGCTGTTTCTGATTCAACTTCGACGAAAGATATTTCCCCGCACGTGATCACGCGTTCAAGATTTCGGATGTCCATGCATGTCCATGTGTGACTTAGGTGTAAACAAAACAGCGACTGCGCCCGAGCGTAAGATGACACACACGGTGAAATAAAGCTGGTGCACGTAAATCGACAAAAAAAAATGGAGGGAAAAGGGTGAAAGCAATGGAAAAATCGGAAACGTAAAAAATCGAACACGTGTTCACCCCAATGATGATACTCCAAATAGAAGGTGGGAACGAGATCCGAAGCTTTCAGAATGCAATGTGGAAGGAAGTGTGGGAGGGAAAAGGAGGGGGTGCCGCTGCTGGTGGTATTGGTGGGTAGAAGTCTATAAACAAAATGGTAGTTATCTATTGTTGCCAGGACTCTCTCGGGTGGAAATATCTTTCACGACGGGCGTTCGTCCGACGCGCACGACGATTCGCCCTTTTCGCCGCGCGGATGACGATTTTTCCCCGATGATTACCTGATGCCGTGCGTGCGTGATGCCTGGCGTGACGCGGGGGGGCATGCTCGTGAGGAGAGCTGACGGGCGGCAAGGCATCGGGAACGGGCGAGATAAGTTCGCGGAGACGGGCGAGAGCGGCGACGGCGGCGGCGCCGTCGCGCCCGGATCGCAGAGACGCGCGGTACTTACACGACAGACGCACCCGGGGATCACCTCTCCTGTATCAATACCATCGTCCGCGGAGTCCTCGTCGCGTGAATATCACGGGTCGTCAGCAATCACACGCGCGCACCGTCGTCGTCCGTCGATGATATGAGCGGCGCGTCGTCCGTACGTACACGGCGAGGTGGCGTTCCAGCTTTGACTCCAGATTCGGTCGCGCGACCGCAGCGCCGTCTACCAGAGGCGTGCGAGATTCGAATTTTCGGCGTTTGTCACGTACGCCAGCGGCGAGCCAGTGGTGTATAACCGCGGACGTGGAATTTTAGGAACCCGTCCGTATAGGGACGGTCGAAGGGTTCCGCCAATTGCGCCGATCCCGGCCGATCGTCAGTCGAACTTATAACTTCGATCGATTTCATCGATAATGAATTCAACCGGCTGAATTCAGCTTGCAGTGAACTTCCTGACTGTAGTAATTCGTACCGAAATTCTCCCGGGATTATTTCTAATTTTCTTTCCCGCCTATCAAACGACAAAATGTTAATAATTGTGTATGTAAATAAAATAGTACAGGTATTATTTGAGAAGTCAGTTTATAACGTTGTTGAGAAAGAGTCATTAATTTATTTTAGTTAATTTTACGAGAAAACGAGATCAAAATATAAAAATTCAACATATAGCCGATCCGCAGTGCAATTGGCGGATGTATAGAATATAATAAAAGAAATCTTCAAATTTTAATAGAATAGAAAAATATTATGGAATTTTTAAATGTTTTTAAATTCTAATGAAAGTTTTTATTGGAGCATTTTCAGGATCACAAAATAAATATATGTTTTAGTTTAATAAAACAAAAAACGTGAATGATAAAATAAAAACAAAATAACTAGAAATAAAATAAATTTAATATAAGCAGAGAGAAGCGGGAGAGAGGCCACGCCGGCTTTTTGGGTGGGACCGATCTCCTCTGTACACTAGCGCCCCACGTCCACGTTTTAAAAAAAGGAACTACGTACACACGTCGATCTTATAACATTGTCGATCAAATCATAGCATTAGAACGTGGTTCGTGTCCGTGCTAATCGCGTATTATAATGCCACATTTTTCTTTCTTTTTCGTTTTTCTTTTTCTTTTTCTTTCTATTTCTCGCAAAACTTCATATTACATAAATTAATTATATATATTTTTTAAATTAAAGATTTAAATACAAGTACCTATATATTAAATGCATGTTTTATGTTAAAGCTGATATCATACAAAGTATCGCGTCTTAATATGCAATGTAACATATCGTCAGAATGAACAAAAGAAAAGATTTGTCATAATAAAGTGAATCGTAATATAGTTTATTGATTAAATATTCTTACACGGTTGTGTGTTATCCAGGGGTCGGTCGTATATATAATATTATTATTTAAAATATGAATTTTAAATTAAAAAAGTAAAAGAATTATTTAGTGTATTTATTAGTACGTACGTACGCCACGTGCGATAAGAAGAGATAATCAATCGAAAGAGAAATTGTCTCATTTTTACACGAAACTTCGCGTACAGTAATTGTGCTTCACTGTGGCAGAGTCGTATAAAATCATATAAGTGATATAATGGAATAAAATATATTATCCCTCTTTTTTTTATTTTACCAAAATCTAATTTATTGTATTCTTCGGTGTCCTTCGTGTTTGGGACGGGAAAAGCCTGCAGCGTAGCGCCGATTTTCCTCTTGACAATGGTAAATCTTATCTCGACGAGAGCGCTGATAACGCGAATTCACACCGGGCGTAAAGAGCCATCATGCTGGCGAACTTTGAACATTGATTTTGCAATTGTCGTTCGGCGGACAGGGGACGAAGAAAGACGTGCATCGTCAATCATCAAATAGCCGTGCGCGTAATTCAAACGCCTGCAAGAGGCGGCGGCGTGTCAACGTGTTGTGAATTAACACGAACGGAAGTTCTTGCTTCGTCGTTGCGCGGAGCGACGCTACCTGACGCGACGCGACGCGAGGTGACGCGACGCCACGCGCCGACGCGACGCCGTGGCGCCCAGCGTCTACGCGCGCGCCGCGGATAAAGGCGCGCGTATAATCGAACGTCACGAAATTGTCCACCAGTCGGGTAAAAGGAGAGCGCGCGCGGAATCGAACGAGCACGAAGTTGCGCGCTAGTCGACCGGGCAAAAGGAAAGCGCATGCACGCGGATACAGGCGCGTTTACAGAATCGAACAGACGGCGAAGTTGCGTGCCAGTCGATCGGGCAAAAGGAAAGCGTGCGGAAGAAATGTGAAACGCACTCGCGCACGGCGAAAACTCGACGCGGAGAATCTCGGTGAAGCGAGAAAGGTGCGGCCCCGATCCCAACGACCGTCTAGCCACAGCGAAATGACGATGAGACCTGCGGAAGGGACGCGCGATTCGCAACAGTCGCAACAGTCAAGAGACGCGCAGGTCGACAGATCACTCTATTTGCTCTTCGAGGATATATCGTACAGTGTACGGAAAGGGATCTTGACCAAGGGTAAAGTGATGATTCGTTACAAAAGCATGTAGTTGTTACTAAAGTATATTAAGAATAATAACAATAATAAAAATCATAGTAAAAATAGTGATTATAAATAAATCTTCATGGTATAAATAACATAATTCAACTAGACTATAACTAAAATTTTATCATCAAGAGGAGGAGAGTGTATTATAATTATGTAAATATAATAAATATAGCATTTATAATTATATAAAAAAATATACTGCGAATATATTTAAATGTTTCATTACACATGTGATCGATCCTAATTTTGATAATACAACTTTTCGTCCAGAAGCATAAGTTTATAGAGATAACTGCTACTGTATAAATGCTGTTTTAATATAGTAAAAGTCATAATTTAATAATACATCTAAAATAAATGATAATTAAAGAAAAATTAATGCTACAATAGAAAAATATTTTTTATTAAAGGTTTATTAATGTATTTTAAAAAATATTTTTACTCACTCGCTTTTAAACGAATGAGAACATTGAGGAGAATAATCAGTGTTGCTCCTATTTTTGTTTTACAAATGTGAAAACTAAGATAAGAGCTCATCGCTTAGAAAACGAATACTTCTTCTCAGAACAAAGGCATATCAATGGCAGCTAAGAACTTTGAAATCGATAAGATATACGCGAGTTGCTATTTGACTTTGTTTCAAAGTGTAGTAAGATATGGTATTTATTTTATAGCTCTTATGATTAGTAGTCAATTGGTAGGAATTATCTAGATATGTCTATCTCTAAAAGATCTAAAAACTCTTAGATAATTATAACAAATTTATATATTTTTTAAGAATAAAAAATACATTTATGTATATGCACATATTTGTAACATTAACAATATTAGTTAATATTAGTTATTAAAACGAATTTTACAATATTAGAACTAATAAAACTTTCCTTAATTACATTGTATATTTGCAATTTAAGCATTCGTAATTGCTAATAATATGTAACTTTAACGATAAGTAAATACCTATTTTCTTTTTAAATAATAAGTATCTCGAAGGCTTAGAGAATTAAAATTTAAATAAGTATAGTGAAAAAGGGCAATAATTAAATAATCTTACGCATGTTAAGAGAATGAAATATTTTTTTGAAAAAAAATTGAACTTTGTATCTGTGCCTAGAATATCGGAACAATAAGACATATATCTATAAAAATTTTACAATACTTCTTTTTAAAAACACTTTAACAGATAACGTATTTAGATTTTCCGAAAATGTTTCGAAAATATCTCCAATATCCATTATTATTTTTAAAAGGAGATTTTTGAAAAGTTTTCATATCCACATTGTATATATATTTAATAAAAGTAAAATTATTATTTATTGTTTTCATTAATTAAATTAGAAAAGTTCAAATTTTTGTGAATATATAACTTACGTCTATTAATTAATAAAGTTAATAATTAATTCACCAGAAATACGTAAAAAATTATTTAAATCAAGTATCGAAGACAAAGAGTAAAAATTATCACTAACAATGAAAGACTTCATCAAGTTAGATTTCAGTTCGAAATGTTGATGCAATTTTTAAAAGACTTATCAGTCTCTGATTAAATCGATTACAAATCAAATGACATGTGTTGAGTACAAAACGAGAAAAACAAAGAAAATGTTCAATAGATCCTTAACACAAATGAATCATTAAAAGATCTATTGTTCGTATATTTAAGTTAAATTCTAAAATGTATTTTGACAATTTTATTTATATTTTGAACATTTTATTACGAGATCTTCCTTTATCATGTAACTGTTATCTTATGGAATATTATTATTCCATGGATATGTTGTGGCAGTAGCAACATATCGTTCTTACCTGTGGAAACTTTCACTTTGGTGCACACAATTTGTTTAGATTGTAATTAGGACATTGATTGCATTCCGCTTATCCCGCGAATTTGTAATGTCTCATCGTGCAGAAATATTAAAATAACTGTTGTTATTTTCTTGCGTAGTCAACAAACACATTGCTTTTTGTACAGAACGATTATTCTGTTTTATAGAGAGGAAAAGATTGTTGAGCGATCTCAACGGCGACTTTCGACCGGGCGAACTCACAGCTATTATGGGTCTTTCCGGCGCTGGAAAATCTACATTAATGGACATCTTAGCAGGTTTCACGTTAGTAAATAATTAGTTTTACACTTTGATCAACTTCTACTCTTACGATGGACGGAGAATAAATCCAATTACTAGCCCACTGACTTTGTCAATTGTTCTAGCTCATAGATTTTGTTTGACGCGAAGCGTGAAGAAAAGTAATAAGAACTTAGGTGTTCACTATCTAAAGACTATTTCAAAAGATTTACATAAACACAGATATAATTAATTTATAATTGGAATTTATGAATATAATATCTGTAGTATATTTTTGCAAGGCCTCTCTTGTAATGTCGAATGTTTGTCGCGCTAATTCAGTAGCGCGCGCGCCCGCACACATACGCACAACAAGAAGATTACAATTAAAATTAAACAGAAAGAAATATCCAACAATTATCAAACAATTGGAATTAATAAAATGCCTTGTGTTATATTAATAAAAATTATGGCATTGAAAATATATACGTCGAATTGTAATACATTTCATTTATAATTCTCTTAGACTCTTTTTCTCGGCATATTAAGGATGGATCTCTCCGTTTTTCGAAGTTCTGTGAGTTGAAGATTTTATTGAACGTATTCCAAATGTTAACTGGAATGTTGATCCGGAATTAATTATCTCGATTTATATATATTGATATATACCGATAATAAAAAGAAAACAGCCTTGAATTTTAGATACCGCACCGGTAATCTTTATCTTCATTCTCAGTTTTGATTGCCGAGATCTCTTTGCACTGTAAAAATATTTTCTGGATTGTAGATTGTAGATTGAACCGCACGCACTTTAGTTTTCACTCTCGTTCTTAGATAGAATTGTGCGCACATAACATCGGCGCGAAGTCACGGTTCACGTGCACGGATATACTCTGTCACACGTCAATATCAGTATCCTATCTGCTCGCTCTTTAGATGCACCTGTCGTGATGCATCGCGTTATCGCAAGTATAAATGAGCTTTTAATCTTATCTTCTTCGCACTCTTATCTTCTTACGCATCCTTATCTTCTTCTTTTTCAAGAGTTGCCCAATTACATACCTAACTGGCAATCGATTGGCAAATTATTCAAGGGTATATGTGCCGAATGTTGGCAGTTAATTGTTTATTAAATATAATTACCTTTTTCAGGTTAATTAGTTATAATTCTTGCTCGCAAATTAGGCATATTTTAACATATAAATTATGCATTGATTGTGCGTACAGTAATAGGGAGAATAAGTTGTGACATACGAATTAACGACACGTATTGCATTTTAGGACAACCTCGGTCGCTGGCAGGATCATGATAAATGGACAGGAACGAAATATGTCAGATTTCCGTAAATTGTCTGCCTATATAATGCAAGATGATAATTTGCAACCACATTTAACACTGCAGGAAGCTATGCTCATCGCTGCCGATCTCAAACTCGGATTGAATCACCGTGAGAAATTACAAAAGGTATAATAGACAATATTAAACGCAACATATACCTATTATATATAAAATTCTTCGAGAGTAAAATATTTAACACGTGGATGATATACAAATTAATTGCCAGAAAAGAGAATATAATTCATTGTGTTACGAAACGACAGGCGGTTTCACTTGTAAAAAGAGTGTTGGATCAACTATATCTTTTTAGATCGTTTCTCTGCAGCGTCATCCGTATTTTTCCTGCAGGGTGAACAAACAGATTTCAAAGATCTGCATTTTTTCTACTCTCTAAATCTGAATCAATGGATAGTTACTGATTATCAATGGTTATTCATTGAATACATCCAGTCCTAAGTATATCAGTAGGTATAATAAGTATTCAATACGCACATGCATTGACTGCATTCCGTATTCACTTCACGCTTTTGGCGCTTACAATGTTCACGGAATTATTTTATTCTTGTTATTTATTATTAAACAAGGACAAATAATGCCGACTGCGCGCAAGCGTTAAAATGGAACACAAATATTGTTTCTCAGAAATCACTAGTAAATAAGTGAATAATGCTATAATAATAATAATGCTATAAACCACTGACAAATCAGTGGACTTTGCTGTTCTCGCACGATTCGGCTGTTTCATTTATTCATTAGCAATGCAAGACGTTATTGACTCAATCAGTGACTTTTCCATTGATTCCACAGATTTAGAGAGTAAACAATACTTTAATACCGTTTTGATTTGAAATTTTTTTATTATTTAAATTTATAATGTACATGTATTAATAAATGATATTTTACAAAAATTCTTAAGAGTTGAAAAAAATTTGTGTATCATGAATCAAATATAAGTGATGCGCGCATTATCTTCTATTTTATAACAATAAAGTAATTAAGTTTAATCGATCACGATAAATGGACATTATATATTTAATCAGGCTACAATGTTTTTCTAATGCACGAGTTTAACGAATAAAAAATTGATTGATGTAACAGATCGACGAAATATTAGTAGCGATGGGCCTCGACGAGTCTCGTTACACGATTACTGGCGAACTTAGCGGAGGACAAAGAAAAAGACTCGCCATCGCACTTGAATTAATCAACGATCCACCAGTCATGTTTCTTGATGAGCCTACGAGGTAGGTATTACATGATTTTCTTTAACGAAAATTTATGCTTATTTTTTTGTCACGTACCCCTTATACAACTGTTTTCGATTTATCTTTTTAGCGGTTTAGATAGCACTTCATCAAAGCAATGCATAGCACTTTTGAAGCAATTAGCGCAAGAAGGACGAACCATAATCTGCACGATACATCAACCGAGCGCGATCCTCTTCAACATGCTGGATCATCTTTACGTGATTGCTGACGGCAATTGCGTTTACACAGGCAGCACGGATAACTTGGTGCCATTTTTGAAAAGCATAGGATTATACTGTCCGACGCATTATGATCCCATGGACTTCTGTAAGCTATATCTTTTTAAAATCATTAGTAAAAATCTTGATAACTCGAAGTTAAAGCTCTTTTTGCATAGTGATGGAGATATGCAACGGTGATTACGGTCCCCACATATTCGAGCTCGTGGAATCGATCGAAAAGGGCAAGAATGATATGTGGAGATCGACGAAAACTGTTCATTTGAACAAACGCAAAGAAAGTATTATTTCGCAACAGGCCACTATGAGATTGTATTCCTTCGAGACGGAATTCAGGCACACGCCATATTACACTGCCAATTTCTGGAGGCAACTTTGTGTTCTTGTTAAAAGAAACGCAATTAGATTATCTCGTGATAAGGTAATATTACTGTACATTACGAATCTTATTCATAGGGTAAAATGGTACAATTCTATACAACATAAGATTTGAATCTAATCTTATCGAAATTCAAATTTGATCTTATTATGTAGAGGGTACTAAACTCCACGCAATGAATTTATAATATTTACCAAATTTGAATCTTGAAAATTCGATTCAAATCTTATATGTCATATATAATATTGTGTCATGTTCGAAATTGTGTCATCTTACCTTAAGACACGATTTTACAATGCTAAAGAGAAAACTCTCTCTCTTTCATATAAATATCGGGGAAAAAAAAAGAATTATAATTATAAATGTTTATTTAAATAATAAATGAGTTATAAAGAGAGACCGATTACTTTATATTATAATAACTTATTCTATAGCATCGATTGTATTAATATTACTAAATTTAAAATTCTATCTTTTATTTGTGTAGGTTTTAACGCTCACACGGATCTCAATGCACTTGGCGATTGCTTTGATTGTTGGCACGTTATACTTTAAAATTGGCCAAGACGCTGCTTATGTTTTAGACAATTTCAATCTATCTTATTTCAACATTATGTTTCTCCTGTATAATGCATTTAGCGCTACGATGGTCACGAGTAAGTTGATTGCATTTGGCACAATCTAATCACGAAATATTTATTTGACATAACATACAATATAAATTTATGTATTAATATTAATGCATAAAAGAAAGAGAGAGAGCATCTTGTCAAATGACTTGTAAAAGATTACAATAGAAACAAATAATGGAATTTTAAAATTAAACAAAAAATAAATAGTAAAATGTAAAATTAGTATTAAAATCAATGCGTCATTTTATTTTATTGATAATTTTTACATTTAATTTTATTAACAATTTTACAATCTAACGGAATGCATTTCTCTAAAATGCAACGTCGAATGTATACTTTTTGTACGTTTCGCAGTTCCTTTGGAGTTACCGACATTAAAACGTGAGCACTTCAATCGTTGGTATCAACTACGATCGTATTATCTAGCGGGCAAATTGGCCGATTTTCTAGTCCAACTCATTTCCACATTTATTTATACCATCACAGTGTATTACATGAGCGATCAGCTTCCCGAAGGCAAAAGATTTTGGTTATACATGCTTATGTGCTTCGTTGTCAGTCTGGTTGGTCAAACAGCAGGGCTTATCATAGGGTGCTCGCTAAAGGTCCAGGTTTGTATTATAATATATTTTATTCATTATTTATATATATTGAATTTATATTAATATTCACATGTTATCTTTTATTTTTCTTTTTATTTTGAAAGGATCGAAGCAATTAAGTATTGGAAAATTTAAGATTAGTATATAAGTAATAAAATTAATACAACTCATCTACTGCATACAATTTGCATAAATTAGCATTATTTTATTTCAGAATAGTGTGATTTTTGGGCCGTTTGCGCTTATGCCATTTATTGTACTCAGTGGTTTTTTCGTGCATACTAAAGACGTGCATCTCTACTTACATTGGCTATTTGACATGTCATTCTGTAAATATGCTTTTGAGGGAATATTGATGGCCGTTTATGGGTAAGATCTGCATTTTTTATTTTGATATATGACAATTAATAACTGTTACGCATTTATTCTAAACTTTTTGAGTAAAGATATTTAAAAATAATTATTATTTAAATTAAAAATAATAAGGTAAATTTTTTTCTTTCTATCACAAAATCTAAAAATAATTTATAATTGCAGTTATGATCGACCGAAATTGAAGTGTTCAGCGGATTATTGCCATTTTGCTACTCCTAAAAAATTTCTCATGGAATTGGGTATAGAGCACATAAATTATTGGTTCAATATGATAATATTGGTAACGTTGAGTATAGTTTTGGATATTGTAGCATGTATTATATTAAACATGAGGATTAAGAAACGAATATAGTATTGAAATAAGACTTCGTATAACTTTTACAATTAAGTGCCGACAAATAAAATCTCAGCACAGATTTATTTGTTAATTTATTTCTTGTTAGTCACGTTATAGTGCCATTGTTATATAACACGCACTTGTAATATATGTAAAAAACAGTTATAATATTGTGTTAGATAATATTATTGCAATTGAAAAAGAAATAAAACATGCGTATATTTTTAGTTTTATAAATCTATAAATTTGTAATATATTTCAGCTATTTGTACTATTTATTATTGATATAAATTCAATTTAAATACCATGACATAATTTTTGCTAATCAAATTATGCGCAAGTGTTTTTATTTTAAAACGAAAGTTTTTTTTCTATCGTGCATGTTATCTCTCTGTTATATCAAATTGTTATAAGTTTGTAATAATAAACAAATTTAAATAAAGCAATGATAAATAAACAAAATATTTTATAGAATAAAAGTAAAGAAGCTTTTTATACATAAATATTATTTAAAAAGAAGAACTACTATAAGAGGAGTACGAAGAGTTGTAATTGATACTAATATAAATATATACATATAAAAAATATATAAATATGATGTATCTGTTCCAGATATTAGCTATAGATATTAATACAAGTTGATGATATGTTTTGCTTAATTAATTCGAAAAAAAGTACTGAAAGGAAAAGCGTATTTAAATTGTAATATTAAAATTTATACAATCTCGCTTATTATTAATGCTTAGTAGAAAAATTTGATAATCGTTTGTCCGATTTTTTCTTAAGTTCTGCTTTTTTCTCTGGACTGAAATTAACCGCTTGATAAAGTATTCTGCGGATCACTTTATTAAAAATTCCACGGACGCTTGAGAATTTTAAAACATAGCCAAATAGAAACCTTAAACAAATGAAATAATAATAAAAATATATGTATGTATGTACATCACGATACATAATTGTATATTAAAATTGATATTCGATATTTGGAAATATAGAACTACATTACGAGATAAATTAAGTACCTATATGTATTCTATATATGTATATACTGACCTCCAGCTTTTATAAGCAATCCATTCCGTGTAACTCATTGACGCATACAAATGCGGC